AAAAAAAAAAAAAAAAGAATCCCTAAATCTACCTGTGACTTGCAAGCCCCTGTTTCGAGATGTCCTGCCCTTTTTGGGCCAAACCAATGTATGTCCTCCATGTATTGATTTATTATTCTACCTGTAATTCCTGTCTCCCTGAGAATGTATGAAAATCAAACTGTAACCCAACCACAGCGAGTCCACTTGCTCAAGGATTCTTGGGCATGGCTACAGGCCATGGTCCTCAAATTTGGCTCAGAATAAACCTCCTTAAATTATTTTACAGAGTTTGTCTTCTTTTCCATTGACATTATAAATTACCCAGCCTATGGTATTCAGTTTTAGCAGCAGAAAACAGGACTAAGGCAACTCCTACCTTAAACTTCTCTAGCACAACGTAATATTAAAAGTAGATGCATAGTAAATAGTAAATTATTGTTGATTTTGTGACCTGGTTTCTCTTTCTATAATCCCAGACAGTAATGCGTTCTCTCGCATTGTTTCAGGACAATACATTGCGGAGTGGACTGTGATTGTAGCAGACAGTTAATTCCAGACCTTCTGGAACGACTGCAAAAGGCAACATAAGATTGTGCAGATTATGAATGAAAAAATCCTAAACAATCTCAGACACTGATCATTAGATGAGACTTCCTAAATTTAAAAAGAGTCCAGCTTTTCTTCCTATCACAAAAATTATCTATTAAAATCTATGCTCACTTTGGAGTCGATCTGTAGCAAAGCACACTCATGTACCATTTCAGTACCTTGCTAGGGTCTTCAGTACTCAAGAGTTCCTGGAAATGAGTCCTTAGCAGTGGAAAGCTGCTTTTTAGAGTCTTCTAAAACAAATCCAAGAGGTTTTGATCTTCAGTTCTAATGTAGACTAACAACAGACTTACTTTCCTAATTTTAAAGCAATCCAATTTCTTTGGCTGTATTTGTGAGTTGACAGTTTAGTGTGCTTCGTAAAAAACACAACACTAAATAAAAAAAACCAAGTCATTTTTCACTTCTACGAAGAACAGGTCCCACCCCAGCGCTCCCTGGGGACCCTAACTCCAGCCCGCCTCGGTAAAACACGGCTCCGCCCCACACCCGTAGCCCAGAGTCCTTAGCAGTGTGTTGCTCATTTGGTTCGGGAGAAGCGAGGCGGGACTTCCGTTGTTTGAAAAACTTCCGGCGGGAACCGGAAGGTGCGATGACACACAGAATCCCGGGTGTTCTGACGAGCCCGGCGGGAAGGTGAGCTGTTTGTGCGCCTTGGCGGTCTTTCTGAGGGCTCGCACGAGTCCGGCGTCCGGGCTCCGGTATTTTTTGGGGCCATTTAAAGAGTTCTGAGCGCTCATCTGGGAAATAACACCCCCCCTTTTTAAAAAGTGAGAAGTATCATTGCATTTTACTGTCAGCAGTCTGTGTCTTACAACCTGCACCCGGAAAAACCCTCCTAGCTGCCGCGTGTCACCTGGCGCGTCTTCTCAAATTGCAGCAGCTCTTAGTGCATAGGAACAGATATGAGAAAGCCCAGGAAAGCTAGATTGTTTTTATATGGCAAATTTCTGGAGATGGGGGAGGAAGCACTCTTTTCACTGTCAGATGGTGGACCTGTCTGAATCAACTGCATCTTCAGCAGTATGCCTGGCATTTAGGAGGCGCTGAGTAACGGTTGAGGAAAGGGATGAATGGGAACTCTCTAGACAACTTTTCTCGAACCTCCCACATGACAGCATGTCGTTAACATAATGTGTAAGGAATGGGAAATAAGGCTAGTCTTGGTGTTCTGGGCACTGGGCTCTAGTCCTTTGCCACATATCTCTTCCCTATGAGTAAACCATTTCAGCTTATTGGATCTCAGGCTTCTGATTGTAGCAGGACCGTCTGATCTTAGAGGCTCTAATATTTTGTTTTTGTGACTTAGGGATCTGTGCTACATTCCATGCACTTCTTCTGGTCCTTCAGGGAAACTTCTTTAGGTGCCTCTTGGGATGTTCACCTCTGCTCTCCTTGAATTTTTAAATTGTTGTGTTTCCAGTTTGAATTTAATATTTATATGTGTACAGGTCCTTTTGCCCCTTTCTCCTGATTTTCATTTGTCCTAGTTTAGTACCTCCTTAGGAACATCACAGCAACCTCAGGGTTATTGATTTGGACTATGTTTATGTGCCCACAGTGATAAGAAAGTTTCAAAGAAGGGAAAATCCCAAGTCACTAAAGAATAGGAATGTTCTTGTGTGCCATCACTTTTTAAAGAAAGTAGTGTGACGTATGGCATTGCCTAATAATGATGGAAAATAAATGTAAATTCCTCTATAGAGATCATATTTGTGTACATTCTGATGTTCATTTAATAAGTAGTTATAGGGCGACTGTTAAGTGCTAGGCACTGTGATATGTAAGTGAAGAAGGCAAATGTGTTTCCTGCATGGTGTTTACTGCCTTGAGGGCGATACAGACAATAAAACAAAAAGATAATTATATATTACGTTACATACTACTGTATAAAGAAGTAAATAGAGTTCTTTTCAAATATAGTATAACTGAGAAACTTATTGTAGGCCTAAAATGTTAAGATCTAAGGGATGAGACGGAGCCAGCCAATTGACAAGCAGGGGGAAGAGGGCTCCAGGTGGAATGAGCCTGAGGTGGGAAAGAATCATGCTTGTTACAGGGCCTGAACGAATGTTGTGAGGAGAGCTGAGGAGCTACAGTAAGTGGTGAATGTGGTTAGGAAAGTAGGCAGAACTGAGTCCTATGGGGCATTTTAGAAGGCCATGGTAAAAAAATATGGTTTGATTCTAAGTGAAGAATGAGGTGGGAAGTCATTAAATGTTGCTAAGCATTTTCTAAATGGTCTTTTGCATTGATATGTGGTGAATGGGTTGTAGGGGCAAGAGTGGAAACAGGGAGGACAGTTAAGAGGCTATTGCAATAGTCCAGGTGAGAGATGTTGAGAACTAAACGCCTACAGGACCTCGTAAAGATTTAAGATAAGTTTTGGAGGAAGAATTCATGTGATTTACTAATAGTCTGGATGTGGGAGATGAAAGAAAGAAAGATTTGTAATGTTTTGGCTTAGAAATTGGAAGTTTGGAAGATGATGGATATGTTTATTATCTTGATAGTGGTGATGTGTATACATGTGTCAAAACTTAACAAATTTGTACAGTTTAAACACTTGCAGTATGTTGCATGTCAATTACACCTCAATGGAACTGTTTAAAATTTTCCAAGGTTCCGGCTTAGCAAATAGGTGGATCGTGGTGCCATTTACTGAGATGGGAAAGGCTGGAGTAGGAATGGATTTTAGGGCAAGGAATAGCCATCTAGAGTGGCATTGTGAATGTGTTACGTTTTGATAACTGTGAGGCATCTAAATAGTTTCAGAGGCAGGCAGTTTATTATGTGTCGGAATCATAAAGGCAAGGTTTTAATAAATGGATGATTTAGGTATTTAAACCCATGGAAATGGGTGAAATTTGGGTTAATCTAACAAGTTTTATGATACAAAGTAAGAGGACATCAGAGTAGTGGAGATGGATAAACAGGCCCCAACAACATTGGTCTTTAAATTGGAGTATACCGAGCTCTGGGAGTATACCTGATATAGTTCCTAGAAATAATTTCTAGGTCCTCAGCTTCTAAATCACTTTCAAAATCTGATCTGCTTGAAATTGGCCTATCTGTTCATGCAGATTCTGCTTTTCCACCCCCATCCCCTTTATACTATTTTTTTTTTTTTTTAGCTTATAAATAACAGAAATTTATTTCTCACAGTTATTTGAGGCAGGGAAGTCTAAGATAAGGCACCAGCAGATTTGGTGTCTTGTGAGGGCCCACCTCCTGGTTCATAGATGGCATTTTCTTGCTGTGTGCTCACATGGTGGAAGGGGTACACTAATTTTTTTTTCTACTTGTGAAAAGAAATGCTTACATCTTACTCATCTTTCCATGGTATGTTGTCTCCAGGGTGCCTAATAAAGGGGCAGTTGGAAATATTCGTTTCAGGGAAGCCTTTTTTAAGGCTAATGGTTAATTAAAACAAGCCTGCTAAGGGTTTGCCTATTCCTCTTTTAAACACATTTCTGTTAAGGCTGAAGTGTGGAGAGAGAATTGTTGTGTAGTCTGTATGGGAATGTTCTGAATTCAGGTATGTTGTAGAATGGGGTGGTGGGAGTGGTTATAAGGTGATCTGGGTGGGTTGTTTGATGGGGAGCTTAGCACCTTCAGGTTTTTACTCCTGGGCTGGTCAGATTCTACAGAGAAAAGCCTTCCCATTCTCCTCCCTAGAGGGTAAGGATCTGACTGACTGGCAGCATTTTGGGAACTTAGTGGGAGAAGCAGACTTGAGGTTTTTTTGTATTTAGCATTCAGTCTGTATGGTTCCCATGCCTACAGTTAGACTTGGTGTCCTCTACTCTAGAGACTGTTGTACCTTTTCTAGAGAATGTACTTCTAGATTTTTTCCTGGGGGCAGTTGCTTAATATTATAGCATGAAGTGGAATAGGGCACCTATGCTTTGTGTCAGACAGCTTACACCCAGCCCTAAACCCTTCCACCTTTAGTTCCAAAGGTAACAGCTATGGCTTCCTGTGAGTTTTTTGAGAATACTGCAGGGTAAATTGGTTTGGTGCAAATGCTCCCATTCCTGGCTTGAGATTTTAATTTTTATGTAATGAAATCCATTAATCTTTTTGGTTTTGGAATTTTGAGTCATGCCCAGGAAAACTTCCATTTCCCTACCCCTACTCAAGATTATGCAAAGAGTCTCTGTTAATTTTTGTAGTACTTCTGTAGTTTTGTTTTGTACATTTTAAATCATTGGTCATTGGGGAATATGTTTTTGTTCATGGTGTGGAGTTAGGGATTAAACACTTATTTTCTTCCAGAGAAATAGCTTGTTCTCTCAATACCATTTATTGAATAATGCATTTTTGCCCTACCCTGGTTTGAAATGCTACCTCTGTCATACACTGACTTCCTCCGTTTTTTGTTGTGGTAAGATATATATAACACAGAAATCACAATGACCTGTTTGTTTATGATCAGTATCTAGAAGTATTCATTTGAGGAAGGATGGCCTGTATAACTATAAAATCCCAAAAAGAGTGAAAGAAAAGACAGAAGCTTATCCTGTCTATTTCCTGGAGACTACTTTCTTTTGTTCTCCTGGTTCCCTCTGAGCACTATTGTGCCCTGTCATTCTGCACTTACTGTACTGTGTTAAGCCATAGCTGGTGGGAGAACATATTCCCTTTTGTGGCAACCCCTTTAGTATTTCTATGAGGAATTACTTCCTCCTCTAAGTGGATGGTAGAACCAGAGGCATTATAGCATATGACTGGTTTAGGAATTTGAAGTGTTCCAAACTCTCAGAGTCTAATGCTGTTTTTAGGGTTTGACAAACATCCTGTAGGTAATGAATCTTATCAGCTAAAGTAAATTTATTTACTTCTTGTATTATATGATATCTCTGGCTATTTGTCTTAATTTTTTTTAAGAGCTGGGCCTTTGAATTTGGTAACTATTTTATAAGGGAATAGTTATTTTATTTATTTATTTTTTTTTGAGACAGAGTCTCACTCTGTTGCCTGGGCTAGAGGGCTATGCTGTCAGCCTAGCTCACAACAACCTCAAACCCCTGGGCTCAAGTGGTCCTCTTGCCTCAGCCTCCCAAGTAGCTGGGACTACAGGTGCATGCCACCATGCTTGGCTAATTTTTTTGTTTCTGTTTTTAGTTGCCTGGCTCATTTTTTCTATTTTTAGTAGAGACGGGGTCTCATTCTTGTTCAGGCTGGTCTTGAACTCCTGAGCTCAAGTGATCCTCCAGCTTCGGCCTTCCAGGGTGCTAGGATTATAGGCATGAGCCACAGTGCCTGGCTGGGAATAGTTATCTTGTTTTAGGAATAACCTGGCTGTATATTTAGCCCATCAGCATCATTTATTTCATTGCCAACTTCGTAGAGAGGCCTCTACTTTATACTGCAAGAAGATACAGAAGAGGGAAAAATGTTTCTGTCTTTGAGATATAGTTTAATAAAGGACTTTATAATTTACTGCTCCATAGTATCATCATCAAATAACACTTGCAGAATACTCAAGCACGCAATTCGAAAAAAGCTAAGAATTGTCATCCTGTAGGAGCTTATATTTTTGAAAATGTAGCTCACACTCTTAAAGTTTTTAAACTATTGGAAGGCTGTTAGCTGTTCTTTTAATTGGCATCTATATAGCTGAGGAAACCAGTGTTTGGGCTTATGAATAAACCTCCTCTTTTCTATGAAGTGTTAGTTTTGAATGACACATCATTTTGTAGCCAGGTAAGTGATCAGACTATTCAATTCATGCTGATTTCATGTTCTGTTTCTTCCAGATGTCATCATTGCCAAGAAGAGCAAAAGCACAGGTTCAGACTGTGGTATTGAAAGATGAATTTTCTTCCTTCTCTGAGTTGTAAGCATATTGGCTTAATATGGGGGTGGGTAAATGATGATTATTTTAAGGAGTAATGCATTCTGTCAACTAACTCCTTACGTGATTTGGGTGGAAGAAAGCTATGTCTTTTTCATTCATTCATGCAACGAATATTTGTTGAACTTATGCTGTGTTCCAGACTCTGTCTAAAGATAAAGTGTTGGTGATAAGGTGTTGAATAAGGAGAAAGTAACCAACTTAATATATAAGATAATATTTACATTAGAATGTAAACTACATGAGAGTAGAGAGTTTTATATATTGCTTTAGAACAGGGTTACTCAACCTCTGCAATATTGACATTGTGTGCATGATAATTTGTTGTTGTGAGGATTCTCCTTTGCCTTGTAGGATGTTTACCATCATCCCTGGCATCTACCCGTTAGGTTTCAATAGCATCCCTTCCCCCCGCCCCCCAAGTTTTGACAATCAGAAATGTCTCCAGACTTTGCCAGGTGTTCCCAGTTGAGACTCTCTGGTTTAGAGTACCATGTTAGGTGCTCTGAAGATATTTGTTAAATAAATGACTGATTAATGTTAGGCAGTAATAAGTACCGTGAAGAAAAATAAAGCAGGGTAAGAGAGCATAGAGAGCATGTTGAGTAGTTGTAGTGGGGGAACATTTTGGATAGAGTAGTCAGGGAGTTCTTTGAGAGGGTGTGGCAAGAGATCTAAATGAGATGTGGGAGTGCAACTTGCAAAGATCTTGGGGATGGGTGTTCCAAGTAGAAAGAGCAGCAAGTGCAAAGACTCTGAGGCAGGAATGAGTTTGATGTGTTCAGAGAACAGCAAGAAGACCAGTGTGGCTAGTCCAGAGTCACTAAGGCAGAGAGTGATAGGAAATGAGATTGGAATGGGCAGGTTCTAATAGGCTATGACAGGGTATTAGGATTTTATTTAAAGTGTGTTGGGAAGCCACTGGAGGGTTTTGGGCAGGGATGTGACATGATCTGGTTTACATTTGTAAAATATCATTCTGGTTTCTCGAGGGCAAGAGTGGAAGTAGGGGAGTGAGATAAGCAGATCGTTATAGAAGCCTAGGGTTCTAAAAGTGAAAGTGATGAGAAATGATCTAATTTGGGATATATTTTGAAGGTAGAGTAGACAAGACATCCTGTTAGATTGGGTTTGAGATATGAAGGAAAGATAGGCATTTTGGGGAGACTGGAAGAGGAATAGGTGTGAGGGGTGGTAGAATTGGGGTTCTATTTTGGATTTGGTAAGTTTGGGGTAATTGCCAGACATCCCAGTGAAGTGGATATACAAGTCTTAAGCTCAGGGGAAAGGTCAAGTTGAAGATACTATATGTATGAAACTGAGATCCCTGTATTGAGCCATAGGACAAGAGCAGATCAGCTAGCAGGAAAGCAAAGAGAGAGGGGAGGAGAGGGCTGAGGACTAAGCCTTGGGAGATTTCAACATTTAGAGGTTGGGGAGAGAAGGAGGAGTTAAAGGGATTAAAGGGAATCTTCCAGAAGTAGGATGAAAACCAGGGGAGTTGGGATTCCTGGAAGGCATGTAAAGGACATGCTCTAAGGGGTGCCAGATGCTTCTGAGATCTCACTTGTAATGGAGAATGAGAGTTGACGAGCTGCTTTAGAACTGCTTCATGTATAACAAAATGATACCTGTGCTTGTGTTTTCTTCGTAATAAGTAAAAGCCCTTTAATCTTGGCAGTATTCCTGTATGATATAAGGTTAGTAATCCTACTTGACAGGTGATGCGACTGAGGTAGGAAGAGGCCATCCTGCTCAGTTTATTGATAGTGTGAGTGGAACCCTGGTTTTCTGATTCCTTCGTTTTCTAATTCTAGTTCCTTTTGATTCCACTGCTATTGTGTTATGTTATTCTAATGATTCCTGTTTGTTTATTTGTTTTTGCTTACTCTTGGACTTACTAGTATCCACCCCTGAAGGGAATTCACTTTGAAAACACCAGTGGTTTGACCTATCAGAATTATGCTTTCCTAGAGCATAACTTAGCTAAGAAGTCATTCAATTAGGTTTTTGCCTCTAGGCAGAACTTAACATTCAAACACCCAGACATCCCTACTCAGTAGTCTCAGTGAAGGGAGTGGTTATCCTTCCCACTAATATTTGTCTCTTACATTAGGGTAGAAATAGAATGAACTGGGTTGGCAGGAGCATTATATTCCTTTACCAGAGTTCACTTGGCTGCTTTTTCAGTGCTTTTGCTGTGAGTTTAATTCTTTGTTGTTAGAAAAGTACTGTAGCTATGCCTGATCCAATCTGATAGGGAAACAAATCTGTTCTTTGAAAGGAAAAAAAGGGTTAATTAAATCAGTTGGAAGCATCTTGATGCTGGATTTTTATGTAATGTAGGGTGTTTCCTAGAGCCATTTCTCACTCCTTTCATTGATTTGAATAACTTATTAATAATACAATTTGAATGAATTTGATTAGCACTTAGGAACTTATTTAAGTGCTTTTCACTGTTAAAATTGAAAAGCTCATATTGACTATGGTGTGACATGACCCAGTAAATTACTTAAGGTAATAAATGATTTTTTTATGATTTGAATGTATGTGTATATGTGTTTGTTGGGTGAGAAGAGAATGGAGATACCTGTGATTTACAGCATATTGGGGTATTTTTTACATGGGTGCCTAATTAACTCTGTTGGTTCAGTTCTTAGCAGTGACAGTTCACAGCCTGTGTGCTCCTATCACTCTATTTTATATTAAACACCTGCTTTATCATTTTTTCAAAAAGTATGTGTCTTTTTTTTTACCTTTGACATTTGTTTTTTTTTCCTTGGAAATTCTTCTGTCAATTTACTCCTAGATCATCTGCCTCTGAAGAAGATGACAAAGAAGATAGTGCCTGGGAGCCCCAAAAGAAAGTTCCTAGAAGCCATAAGCAGCCTGCTCCGAAGGAATCCAAACCCAAGAGGGTACCTCGGGTGAAGAAGACCACCCCACAGATCAGTGATGGCACAGAAGGCATTTCTGTTAAGGAGGAGCTGGTAGGTGCTGTAGCTAGGTAGAGGGAAGTTTCTAGTGTTCTAGTTACTTTCTCCTTATACAGAGTAGGACAAAGCATGTAAATGGCAAAAACTGCCAGCAGTGGTGTCCCCTGCCATGGGTCTCAATAATATTTATCTTCAGATCCACTATGTTTTCTTTGTTTATTTCCTTTTCTTTCTCCTAGGAGGTGGTCTCAGTATGGTAGTGGTGGTAATGATGGTGGCATTAGCAAATATTTGAGTGCTTACCATTAGCCAGGCCACTTGGTCAACATTTTATTTGTGTGATTTTACTTGATATTCATAATAACCATTGAGGCAGGTGCTATTATCCTGATTTTATAGATAGGAAAGGTGAGGCAAGAGATGTTCAGTGACTTGCTCATGGTATACGGAGAGTAAGTGATGTTAACTGGCTTTCTAAGTCAGGAATATGATTTTGTCAGCATTTCGGGAACTGAGACATCTCTTACGGGTGTTTTTGGATCAGCCATGCTCATTCGAGTGATGTATACAATCAGAGTGCTGGCTTAATAATTAATCGTTTGAAATAATCATCTCAAGGACTTAAAATTCTTATGGCCCACACTTTTTCTCTTTGGAGGCTGAACTAAGTAGGGAATTAAATAATAATCAGAAATTTGCTTGATGTGCATGGGCTCAGAATAGGAGGATTAGAGAAATTCATTCATTTGAGTTTATTGAATGTCTACTGTGTTCTAGGCATTGTGCTTGTCACGATGACAATTGAATATTTTAATTGCATGAAGCTGAGGTAGTCTGAAGTATCCATCTCACAGCAAGGCTTTCTTCACTGGGACGAAAATACCTCAGAATCTGTTTGCTAAGCTCTCCTCTCTTTCATACATTACTTTGAAGAATGCTGGTCATATTTGCTTTCTGTAGTTCTTTTTCTGCTTCTCTGTAGCTGACAACCTCCTATATGATTGACACTTTCTTTAGTTCTGCCAATTCATTTGATTAGGTTATTATCAACTCTTATAGGCCTGAGGGTCGTTCTTCATATCTCTGCTCTGATCCTACTATTTAGTAATTCTGGAAAATATATTTGATAGGAGAGAAGATTGCATTTTGACTGAAATTTAGATTGGGAGTACTTCGTGTTTGTGTTATCTGTGTCACTTAGATAACGGAGAACAGGGTAACTTGTGAAACTGTAAGCTCCTTAGGGGCAGGGTTTTTGTCTTTTTTACCACTCTATCCCCAGTGTCAAGATGAGTGCCGGGTCTCATTCCTTCACTCCTGAGCTATCACTTAGATGGGGCGTGGCGAGGCAGTGGTGCAGAGAGTAGTTCCTAGACACTTGTGTGGACTCCTATTAGAGAAAAATGCGTGACACTACCCTGCTGTCATTCTTCTGTCCTCTAGCCTTCTGCATAAATTGGTTGCAGGTGAAGCCTGTTGAGTTTTGTGAGCATGTGAGATTCTTCTCCCCCCATATGGTTGACTTTGATTGCAAGTTTGTTTTTTTTTTTTTTGTGACAGAGTCTCACCGTGTTGCCTGGGCTAGAGTGCCGTGGCGTCATCCTAGCTCACAGCAACCTCAAACTCCTGGGCTCAAGCGATCCTCCTGCCTCAGCCTCCCGAGT